AAGTGACATCACGGGGCCTTCTGGCTCGAATGATCCGAGATCTTACAGGTCGAGGGCGAAAGAGCCCTGGCCAGGCCGGGAGCGTGGATACGACATAGCATACGGGGAAGTAGAGGCCGAGGGTAGGATCCGTCTGAAAACATCTTCTCCTTTAGGAAACGGCGAGACAACGTCCCGGGCTCCCCCAGAGTGCTCAGCTGGCCGAGTCGGTGTGTTTGGGGGTAGGTCTTTGGCCAGTTCTGGCTTCCCCCAACCCTAAAGAACCTGCAAGCTTGGGAATGTGTTTACGCCCCCTTCCTGTTAATACCTCATAAAATACTATTTGCCAATAATGTCACTCCGTAATTACATTCACTGAACTCGCTCTGCCTGTGTGTTCGCTCTTTTTTCATTATGTAGCTTCAACCTTTATAATGTTACCAATTGACACCATAATTAGTATAGTTTACTGCAGCGCTGATTATGAGGGACCTCCTTGTCAATCAGCCTCTGTTTGTTTCTGTTTGAGGAGCCATTATTCCTTTACCTCTAAACCCTGGCTCATTTACAGGGCACACGGGTGCAGGGCTGCGCATGTGCACGCCAGAGAGGCCCGCGCCCCGGCGGCCTCCTTACACTCGACTGCCCGGCTCTTAAGTGGTCACGTTGCTCCCGGCCTCGTTGCATAATGGCCTCGGCCGCGCTCTCCAAGCAAGGAGGAGCAGCCCCGCGGGCACAGCCAAGGGTCAGGGTGCTGGGTGCCACCCCTGCCTCTGCCCGGGGAGCCACGAGGCCGTGGCCAGTCGCCAGCCTCTCTGTGATCCCGTCCCCCCACCCAGCTCTCCTTCCTGCCCTACCTGCCTCCGGGGGCTTCAAAGAGCTAACAGATGTGGAAGAGCTTTTGAAATAAGCGTGCCATATAAATTCAAGGTGTTTGGGAATGGTTTTCTCATAAAACTGCCAACACTATCTTTTTGGAAAAGACAGAAGTCACAAATCCACTCTTGTTTTAATTTACTCTGGTATTTCCTCAGCAGATGGCTAGAGAGCTGCTTGTCATGTGTCCTCCGTGCCAGCACCTAGGGGCTAGTGCCTTCTCGGTGCACCCCGAGGACAGCGGCCTCCCTGGAGGAATGGGTCTGGCTTCCTGTGCTCCCCGAGAGGTCTCTCTGGGAGTGGAGCCAGCACCCTTTTCTTCCCCCGGAGTTCCCGGTGCTCAGCGTGGGGAAGGCAGCTCTGCCCTTCCCCTGACTGCTCTGCTCAGCCCCGCCATGGCATGGGGGGGATGTCCCTGAAGCCTGGACACGTCTCTCTACTCCTGCAGCCTTGTCGGGGGTGCACCAGGCTTGCCCCAGCCTGCCTCCCAAAAGCAGGTTTGGGGACCCAGCTCTGGGGTTCCGGGCCTGCACTCTGTGGCGTGCCAGGCAGCCCCTCACTGCCTCTGCTGCTGGCTGCGTAGACATCTGTCCTGGACACCCCAAGTCCTCACGCGACAGCCCTCCGCGTCCGGGCTTGGCGCTGGGGGGAGAATCGGGAAGTCCGATTTCAGCAGAAGGTCAGGCCTTATTCTCTGATCCAGCTTAAGCTGCCACAAATACTAAGCAAGCCTCTCTGTGCCCCCTGGGTCCATTTCTCACTCAGTGCAGATCTCAGGGTGGACGGGGCACGCCAGAAATCACAAAACGTTTAAAGCCGAAAATAACTTAGACCGTTATTTTTACTTACTTCCCAGGGTGCACTCCTGGGGACGATCTTCCTGCCGCTGCAGAACCGGCTCCGTGACAGGAAGCTCGTCCTCCGCGAGGCAGCCTCTGGCGCTGCCAAGGCGTCGCGCGTCTCGCCCTTCTGTGCAGCTCCAACTGTCTCTCCCTGTGCGTCTGCAGGTCCCGCTCTGCCCGTGGAGGCGCACGGAGCAGGGCCACCCCTCTCTTGCTTTCCTCTGAGTCCTCTTTTATTTTTCCCTTTAACCCTTCTGTGTCCCTCCCGGGACACCCGGGCCACAAGTTCCGAGGGTCAGCCTCTCACCCTCGTCATGGCGCTCACCGGTGATTCACGGAGCGTCTCGGCCTGCCTTCCGGAAAGCGTGATGGTGGAGGCCCCCGTTCCGCTGGTTCTAGCATCTCTTTTCTGTTCCTGTGCTGTCCCAACGCACAGCCCTCAGGAGGACTCTTGAGTGACTCTTGGGTGTTGAGCACAGGCCAGCTCCGTGCCAGCTGTGACGCGGGGTACGGCGGAGCACGTGAGGTAGAGCAGCCCCTCTGGGAACGCAGACAGTGGCCGCACGAGGCCAGGCAGGGACTTCCCAGGGCCTGGGACAGCCCGTGCTAGCTGTAGGAGCTGGAGTGGGGCTGGGGCTGGGGTGGTGGGAGCCAAGGTCATGGCTGTCCTCGCCAGTTCCCGGGGTGGCCCTTCGGACGTCCCCACCATACTCCTCCTCCATTTCTTCCCTGTCCTTCTCCAGAGTCTCCCGAGACTCCTTCCTCAGAAGGGTCTGGATTCCTCCCCTTAACACCCCAGGCCTCCTCAGGACCTCTCTTGACCTCTGCGTGACCCTCTTTCTTTCCAAGACACCCAATGCTCAGTTTGGAGCCCGGCGGCTTGGAGACACAGAGGTGTTAGTGACACGTCCACCTTGTCATCGAGACGGAGAGAAGCATTTTGTAAACCTCAGAGCAGATCCAACCTCCCAGTGGATGCGCGTGTAATGTGGCTTAGGCTATATTATTCTTGCTTAAGTTGGAGTCTGTGATTTAGCATTCCTGTTTAGCTGCGGAATTCCACGGAGGATATTGCCGGATCCCAAATCTTTTGTCAGTGTAATTGAGCATAACATCTTTTCAGGTTTGTATTTCGAAAGATGCATTATCTCCTCTCATCCATTTGTTCTATTCGAGCTGTTCGAAACTTTTAGCTTGCCCCATCCCTCGGAAGGAATTTGAGTTTTAGGCTGATAATTTATGTTTATGCTGAGAATGCGATTTCCTTTCTGCACCCAGGATGATTAATAGACTTCTCTCTGTAAATTAGTACGGGAGAGGACATAGGTAAATTGCTAACCGAACTGAGAATTTCACTTTGTTCCAGTGATTTCTTCAAGCTCTTTCATACTCGTGTTCCCTAGATGCACAATTTCGCTTGGACCGTGTGCCCTTTGGCGGCATAAGAAACCTCATCCTTGTCCCCCACCTCCTGGGCATCCTCCTACAGGAACACGACCAGCAGACCACCGCCTGCACGTCAAATCCAGCCTGTTTTCCTGAGGTCTGTGGGCTAAGAATGGTTTGTAGATTTTTAAATGGTTCAAAAAGAAGAATAATATTGTGTGACAGGTGAAAATTATATAAAATTGAAATTTCCAGTATCTCTAAATAAAGTTTTGTTGGAATACTGCCACGTTCCTACGTTTACAGATTGTCTGGCTGATTTTGCACTATGCCGGTACAGTTGAGTAGTTGTGACAGAGACCTCATGGCCCGGAAAGCCTGAAATATTTACTATCTGGCCCCCTCTGAAGCGAAAGTTTGCCAGTCCCTGCTTCAGAGAAAGAATGAGCGTTTGCTTGTGCCTCCCGCAGATGCTGGGGTTTCTGGATGTCCGGTTGTGTCTACTCACCTTTTAGCAACCGCGTCTTAATTTCCACGTGGTGGTTGCTTGACCCAACGGGACCCGTGAGCTGTGAGCCCAGGCACCTGCGAGAGGAGCAGGCGTCCTAGGAGCCGTGAACCGGGGCCTGCAGAGGTGGACGCAGCTGCGGGCATCTTGTGACAACAAAGGACTTGAAGAGGGAGTCAGAGCTGGCAACTTCGTTTCAGCCCTGAGTCAAGCCAGACCTGATGCCCCTGCCCTCTGTGTGTTTGGCCAAGCCCACACCCTTTTGCTTCAATCTGTGTTTCTGTAGTGAATGGGTTTCCTTTTTCCTGTGTCCCTTACAACAGAGGACCTGGGTCAAACCCCTGCTGATCCCGCAGACTGGCTGGAAGCGCCGGCCCACGGCCCAGGGCTGGCCCGGGGACCCCAGCTCTGGCGCGGATGCTCCAGTCCATGAAAGCCAAGAGGTGAGTTGATCTCTGCTGCGGTTTGAATATTTGTCCCCTCCCAAACTTGTGCTGAAATTTAATCCCCAGTGTGGCAGTAGGGAGAGGTGGGGCCTTTAAGAGGTGACTGGGTCAGAGAGCTCTGCCTTCATGAATGGGTTAATGCATTCACAGACTAACAGATTAAGGGTTATCTCGGGAGTGGGACTGGCGGCATTATAAGAAGAGGAAGACAGACCTGAGCTAGCACGGCAGCGCTCTTGCGTGTGATGTTCTGCTCGCCCTGGGACTCTGCAAAGGGTCCCCACCGGCAAGAAGGCCCTCACCAGATGTGGTGCCTTGAGCCTGGACGTCTCAGCCTCCAGAGCTGGAAGAGATCATCCCTTTCGCTTACAGACCAGCGTCAGGCACTCCACTGTAAGCAACGGAAGGCTTCAGGTGCCCTCCCAGAAGGGACGGGGGCAGAGCTCCTGGTCTGCAGCAGCGAGAAAGGGCAGGTGACCGAGATGATGGGGCAGATGTGCCATCTCCAGCCCCCCTGGGCACCCGCTGTCTCCCGAGAGGCGCCGGGCCGTGTGCGCCAGTGGAGGACACGCAGTGGCGGGCGGAGAGGCCATGGGTGTGAGCCTTGCTTTGGAGGCAACCCCGGCACTTCCAGGGCTGCAGGGTCTTGAGCACGTGGCTGAGTTTCCATGAAACTTGGGGTCCTCTTCAGTGCGGAGCATAACAGCGCCCGCCTTCCCGTGCGTGTCGTGAAGAATCCTGGGGTGGGCCGGGTGCCGGCTCGTGCAGGCCTAAAGCAGCAGATGAACGCTGCTGGCGGCGGCGATAGCGGACAGGAGGCCTGAGGGGGCAGGACCTGGGCTACACCTGGGCTCCGCCCTCGACGCGCTGCCGGAGTAGGAGGCCATGTGCGACGGAAGGAGCTGGGGTAGGAGGGGGACTCGCCTCAGATGTCACAGCCGCGGACACCGGGTCTGCGGGCTCCTAGTCCGGGCTGCACGGCAACGTTGCTTCAGAAGTAAAGCGGCCGGTGCAGCCCGGGATGGCCCTTCCCTTCTGCACCGTGGTCTGCGGGCCACGCGTGGCAGCCGGCAGCGCTCGCTGCGCGTCCTGGCCCGCCCCGTCTGCCTGCCCACCCACGTGCTGGGGCGTGGTCCGCAGCAGGGGTGGCGACAGGGCCCCGTGGGTGCCCTCCCTGTCGCAGACCACTCTGGGGTTTCGCGGACGGTTAACCAGGCCCAGAAGACAGCACGGGGCTACTTGGGTTTGACAGCGTCTGCGCATATGGGCCCCATTTCCTCCGCCCCTCGGCGCGTTTAAGCACAAAGGCCTAGATGGGTTTCGAGTGTCTCAGCTCTCTGGCTCCCAGGCAGCTTCTCTGGGCCGCCCCACTGCTAGACCCCACTCTGGGGTCTTCGGCAGCCTCGGGAAAGGCCCCTCCGGCATCACAATGTGACCCGATCCCTTCATGGCAAGATGCTTGTCAAAAATCAGGTTGTGGGGCGAGCCCCACGTGGACCCCTGGGATCCTGCAGAACGGGCCCATTCGAGACGGCTGGCGGCGGCCCCTGCGGAGGACCGCGGGGTGCAAGCTGGTGTGCCAGGTGCTCAGAGCCGGACGTTGCAGCCCAGGCCGGCGGAGGGGTCCGGGGCAAGGGCTGGGTGGGGCAGGCGTGGGGACCTGGCCAGGTGGGCTGCAGGAGGGAGGCAGCAGCCTCGCTGAACTGCTGAGGAAGACAGGCTCTCAGAGGGACAGTGGGAAAGAGAGGGAAGAACTGGAACAGACAACACCGCCAGCCTTCCCAGCCAGTCATCAACCCCCAGCCCCGAGCCTGAAACCATTTACCACCCCGGGCACCACCCCTGCCCCGTCACAGCCATTGTTCCAGACATCTGGAACTTTCTTAAATTCGCCTCTGCTCCTCTTTCCCTACAAATGGCCTCCAAATTTCAAAGTCCAGAAAAACAAACACGCCTTATTGGCTTTTCCTGACGCCAGCAAGAAGGCAGCAAAAGCGGTACACCTCGGGGAGGGGACTCGGCTCATTTCTAGCAAATGGATGGGTTAACCTTTCCACCTGGGGCTGTGGAAAATGAGTTTCCTGGAAACCAAGTCCGTGCTGCGCGTGGAGGCAGAGATTTCGCCTTCTTTCCCGCGCCAGCCTGGAAGGAGGGCAGCTCTGTCTTCCGTCCCTCCCATGGAGCTCCGACTCTGATTTCACTCCTCCCAGAGAGAGGGGAGCCCTCCATTTTAGGGGGCCCCTGAGGCTGTACAGTCCCCTGACACTCCGTGACCCGGAGCTCTCCCCAGGACGTGCCTGGCAGTTTTGGGCTGAGAATCCAACTTCTGGGGCTTCGTATCTTCAGGCCATTCATCCTGAGTCCAGCGGCAGGGCCTGGAGACCCTCCTGCCTGTTCCCCTCTCACCCCCAGGCTCCCCCTCCTGTTTGGGGCTGGAAAAACTGACAGTCGACGGCCCAGGAGGCAGCAGGTGGGGGTGAGCCTCCGGGCTGTGGGGCAGAGGACGAGGAGGCGGCTTGCGCAGGCACCAGGGTGAGGGCGAGCTGGCCCAGGCGGTGGGAGAGGAAGGATTCCGAAAGGGCCAAGATCCTGCAGAGGGCAGCTGAGGGCTTCCGTCTGCGGCTCTGATTGAGTTATGGGGAAAGGGGCGGTTTGGGGAAGCTGTTGGCGGATCCCAACCACATTGTGGCAAATGAGGCCCTTTGGCCTTTTGGAAAACCCATGCTTTATGAAAATAAATTAAAAGAGATTGAGTCCTTCTGTTCCCTTCTCATCCTCTCCCCTCTGTCCCTGAGGCAGACACATGCTGCTCCGCATTGTCTTACCTTCAGATAGCTTGCACGGCGGAAGGGCAAACCTGCAATTACCCTGCCTGCCGAAAATGATGGCTGTCGCTTAAGAGAAAACCTGACTGCTTCCCTTCCACGGGGTCTGTGAATCGTGCCAGCGCATCTGCCTGTAATCTCTGCCACGAGAGCTTTGTCTGAGCCAGCCCAGTGGCAGGGAAATGACAGGGTTGCTGGTGGCCAGATGAGGCGGAGGGAGGGGCACGAGGTTGGTTCCCAGAACGCTGGGACCCCCCCATCCTCAGGCCCCTCCCACCCCCAGGAGGAATCTCTGGTGTGAGCTGTGGTTCCTGCCGCCACCAGGGAGAGCTCACACCCGAAGTCTGTCCGCGTATGTTTCTCGGAAGAAGAGGGGAGGCCCCTCATCAGATCTCGGAATAAATAATAAGTAATAATAATAATAAGTAATCATGTGATGATTTTGCACGGGAGCCAGGGGATCGAAGAGACGCTAGTCATGTAGACCACACGCGGTTGCAAGGGACAGAAACCCAACTCAACCTGGACTACACTAGGAAGAAAATTCATCAGTTACCTAATTAATCGGTTAACAAGCGTCCAGAGCGGAGGAAGAACTCAACACAGGCTCAGGCATGGCACTGAGGTCTTGCCTCTGCCTTCTCGAGATCGGCCTCTTCTCATGATCATCTCATGATGACTTTTCCTGCCCACACTTCCCAGGCAGCTTCCTCCCCACTCATCCTCTGGATAAGCCAAGGTCTGTTCCAGTCATTAAAACAATCGCTCTGGGTGGGACCATGCAGTGTCCTGGTTGTCTCAGCTGAGTCATACGTTCCACGCCTGGAGCTGAGGATGGATTTGGCTTCACTGGAGGACCCCAGTGGAAACTATGGGCCATCGGGAAAGGACGTAGGGAAGACGGATCCCACAGGGGCCACTGGGGGATGGCCACCACGTGCTCTAAAGACTCCACTGAAAGCCTCTATTTTGTTGACTGATAGAGAAATGGACGTTTTCTCACCCTCTAGTGTGGACCATTCTGGACAAGGTCATTCTAGGTAACTGGATCAGAAGGTGTCTCAGAAGGCACATCATTGTGTTTTCAAAGCCAGTGCAGGTCTGTCTAGGACAGAACCACCGTATGGCGGTTCCCAGGCCCCCAAGAACTGGCAAGGCATTGCCTTGTGAAACACCGTAATGCACAGTGGATTAGGAATCCCAGCAGAAGGAATCTGTCCTCACGAGTACAATAAAGTTCTCTTTTTAGCTCTCACTCAGAGAGCATTTTTAGCTCTCACTCAGCTCTCACATTCACCCAGGCCCCTCTGTCTCAACTTTGTGCATCCTCTCAGCCTGCGTGGACCCCTGTTCTGTTTCTAAGAAATTGATTTCCTTATACTTCGTGACGACATACATCCCTCCCAAAAAAGAAACCTTGTCCTGTCTGAGAGTGGAGTCTCCCAAGCACCGATACTTTCTACGGTCCCTTCCCCTCCGAATCTTGCCAGTCTTAAGTAGCAAGCACTCAGAGCTTTGCTAAGGCAAGCAAAGGCGTTGCAAGTTGCCCAAGGCCCACTGCGTCGTGACAGCCGACACAGGCAGAGGAGCCTTCAGAGCTGTAAGTCAGTGCCTTGGATGGAATGATCAGGCCGGATGTTGACCCGTGGAGAAAAGAGAATTGAAGGTAAGAGTCCGTCAGAAACTCTCTGTGCCACGTTGGCAATTGTCTACTTGGCCTTTGCAAGTTCCGGGGGCGAGATGACATGGCTTTGAGAAGCAATTTTTTGTTGCAGTTTCTGTCTTTGATACCTTGCTTGGCCTCTGCGAAGAATTCTGTTTGCTAGGTCTGTCCCTAACCTTCCAAGGGAAAAGAGGGATGTCCTCGAGTTTAAAGGTGAGCGTGCCGCTGTCTTTCCATCTTCTCACTGTCATACGAATACACCTTCAGCCAGGAAGTAATTACAGCAGGTATAGCTACAATTACCCAGGGAGAAAACAAAGACCAACATCGTGACATTGTAACAAGTAGGAATAAGCTTAGAGGTAAGGAAGAACGCTTCTTTTAAGGGAATGTGTGACAATTAAGGGGAACTCAAGAAAAAAAAAAACAAGGAAATTCAATTTTACAGGAATTGGTTTTTTTTGAAAATTAAATATTTATATGTCTACATTAGCATCAACCTATTACTGTCAGAGACTGAGGTCAAATAACTTTTGGGTGTCGCTTCTGGCCCCTGAGTCTTATATTCTGAAGAAGAGAAGAGAAAACCTCACTCAGTTTCTAAAGCTCCAGGTGGAAGTTACTAGAAAATGAAAAGCTACTCAATCCCGTGTACTTTTCTGAAATGTGCTATTTATTGGGCGTGTGCCCAACGGCATGGAGGGAAATGAGATGGCAAGACCCCGGCCCCTAGGAGTCAGGTGACGACGTTTGCTGAAAGCCCACTGAAGACCATGTGCCCGCCAACGCCCCGAGACACGGTAGCAGACAAAGCAGGTGCAGTGCCGGACCTCATGGAACTCACACCTGGAGAGGAAGGAAGACCGTTTAAAAGGACGTCCAGGACGCAGGGAAGGGCATGTTGGGTGGAACTAAGTCTCATAGGAAGTACCAGGAATGGTCTCCCCAAGGAAGTGAGGGTTGGCTTGGAGAATGAGCAGTTTAGGTGGAACGTCAGAGCAGCCTTGGGCACAGGTTAAAGCTAAGGAGGAGCCCTGGAAACCATGGCGATTGGCTTGCAGCCTTTTTATTCTTTCTTCCACTACTCAAAAAAACCATCAATGGATTGTCGGAGTTTAAAGGTGAATGCCACAGATCTTGAGGAATTTCTGCTAGAAATTCTTCTGTCTGATGGTGGATACTTCTTGCTAAGAAAATTACTACCTGCATGAATATTAATATGGATATTAAATAGTATAGATCCTGGCAAAACTCTATACATTCTAAGTTAAAGGAGAAGTAGCTGATAAGGAGCCCATTAATCTGCAATTAATGAAAATTTAGAAAATAGAGATAATTAGATCACTACAAATTCAGACCCATAAGATGCAACCAAAGCAAACCTTAGAAAGAATTCATAGACCTAAATACATTCAGTTGTTAAAAAAAAAAAGATAAATGGTGGATAAACACTAAAACCTGTAGATGACTTTCCTCCAATTTTTTTTTTCAATTTTCAAACATGGCAGGATATTTCAAAACTTTCGTGAGCAGAATAGCCCCACGCTTAGTGCTTCATAATTTATTTAAGAAAGCTATCGAAGTATGGATATTGAAACCAAAGTACCACAAAACTGAAAAAGAAAACCACAGACTCCCTCCCTTAGGAATACAGATTTAAATTCTCAAATGTTAAAATACCAGCAACAGATCAGCATTATA